CTTCCCCAGAACTCTGGGAGGGGACCTGGGCTCAGAAGCCCAGTCCTGATTCCCATCCCCTCCCGGGGCTGGGGGAGGCCCAGGAGGTGCCTGAGTCCCGGGCAGGTGAGGGGAGAGGGCCCTCTCTCTGCAGCCCCCGGCCGGGCTGGCTGAGCTGGGCCCTTGGACCCTGGCATGGCCTAGAGAGCCCCAGGGTCGTGGGGGAGACTGAGGCAGTAGCCATCTTGGACAGGGACAGGGACGGGATGGAGAGGGAGGAGGTGAGGACCCTAGAGGCTCTGGGTCCCTGAAGAACCCCCCAGCCCCTGGCCTCACCCTCCCCTTCCCTCTGGCCGTCATGGGGAGCTCCGGATCTTGGGCTGACCTCTCCCACAGCCTGGCACTCCCCCTCCCCGGCCCTTGGCCCTTGCTGTCCAGCTCCCACGCTGTCCCTCTCGCGGCTGGCCTTCGAGGCAGGATCCACATTCCCTCCTGTGGAGGGTGTGTGAACGGGTGCCCCTGGCCAGTCAAGAAAGCCCAGGTCTCCACAGAAGCAGGTCCTCTGCTGGGGATGATGGCTGGGCATCTGGAAGGCGTGGGGACAGGCGTGGGGACAGGGGAGGTGGTATCACTGGTGGGAAGAAGAGGAGGCTCGCAGGGGGAAGGGGGGGGCATGAGAAAGGCCTGGAACCTCCTTCAGGTGGCAAGGTCCTGCCAGCCTGTCCCTCTCTGGAGTTCTCCCCCCGCCACCCAGGGCACCTGTTGGTCTGGGTCTCTACCCCCACAAGCCGAGACCCCACCCTGCCCTCTCCCCAGGAGCTGTAAAGGGGTCTGGCCTCCCTCTGAGACCCTGGAACCATCATGCTGGGGTGGTTCCCAATTTTAGGAGTCATGGCTGGCCTTGGGACAGCTCTGTCACTGTGACTCGCCTCAGTGTTACAGTCATTCACTCAGTAATGCTGGGCTATGCTTTCCCCACGCACAGGGCTCTGTGGCAGGTGCTGGGGACACAGAGGGACCAAAACAGATCCTGGCTGTGACTGACTTCCCAGTGCTGGAGGTCTGGCTGTGACTTCCCAGTGCTGGAGGTCGGGTGGAAGAGACGGGCGCTAACCAGGGTACAGACCCCCGGCCCCCCACCGTCCTAAGTCACATGCTGTGGCATCCAGTGGCTGAAAAATGGAGTCCCACGAGTCATGGGAAGTCACAAATGAACTAAGAGCCACCACCGAGAAGCAGGGAGCAGAGAGAAGAAGCTGAGGGCGTGGTGTGGGTGTTTGTCCTCCCAAATCCATGTTGGAATTTCATCCCCAAAGTCATATGTTGATGGCTTGGAGGGGGGTTTTGGGCAGGTAATTAGGGTCAGATGAGGTCATGAGGGTGGGACCCCCATGATGGCCTTAGTGCCTCCTGCCTGTCTTCCTTATGGTGGGCAGTCCTAGCCAGGTGGCACACATCTGGAATCCCAGGGACTTAGGAGGCTGAGGCAGGAGGATTGCGAGTTCAAAGCCAGCCTAGGCAACTTAGGGAGAACTTCAGTAACTTAGACTCTGTCTTAAAATAAAAAATAAATAATAAATAAAAAGGACTGGGATGTAGCTCAGTGGTAGAGCACTTGCCTAGCATGGGGGAGGCCCTGGGTTCAGTCCCCAGTTTCTCTCTCTGTCTCAGCCTCTCTCTCATCTCCCCTGGCCCCATGAAGAAGGCTCCTCCAAGATGGCCCCTACTGGATGCAGGCCCATCAACCTTGGGTCTCCAGAACCAAAAGCTGAATAAACTTCTAGTCTTTATAAATCATCTAGTCTGTGGCATTCAGCGATAGTAAAGAAAATGGACAAAGACAAGAGACGCAATCAGAAAGGTAGGATAAAGGGAGGTTCTTGGAAGACAGGATGACTGAGCTTTGGTCTAAGGGTGAACAGGAGTCGGTTAGGGGTGGAAAAGCATGGAGCAGTGGGACCTGATGTCGGGAGCAGGAGGGGCTCAGAGATATGACCTAGCTTGTGGGGTGCTGCTACTCTGGCCTGCAGCTTCCCCAGGCCAGCGGCCAGTCTGAGCCACCCTGCTCCCAGTGTCTTCTTTGCGGGGTAGGTGACCTCATCACACTGGCCTTATTTCCTCTGTGCCTGATCCTTTGAGCACACGGCTGAGAGCTTCCTCCTGGACTGGAGGCCTGGGTCCCTGACTGTCCCTGAAACTGCTCTGGGCCCAGCCTGCCACTCCTTAGAGGAGAACCAGTGTTCCCAGGGAGGAGCCCTGGCCCCTGCCATGTCCACGGGGCAGCTTAGTGCAGGGTGGTGGTGGTGGGGCGGTGGAGTTGGAAGCTGGGTCCCAGAAGCACCTGGAAGTTTCCGCCGAGGGCCGAGGTGCACAGAGAGCCCCCACGGGCCCTGCTCGTGGGTTCACGTAAACATCCCTGGTCTCACCTCGCAGCCAAGGACTGGTGAATCCAAGACTGAGACCCCCAAACAGGAACAGGAAGTCTCTCAGAGGCCCTCTGGCTCTAGGTGGGGCTGGGAGTCCCCCCCTGCCCCAGGAGATGGCGCCACGGTGGGTGAGCATTGCTGTCTGTCTTGGTGTGGACCCTGACCTCTGCCCCAGGATGGCCTCGTGCCTGGGTGCCTGGATGCCCAGGACAGAGCCTGCCGGTGAGGGTCCCTGCTGACCGTCCAAGGCAGAAGTCCTGTCCCTCCGTTGAGTCTGGTCACCTGCTTTTCCCGGCCCAGAACAGGCTCAAGCCAGACCTAGAACAGCACAGCCGGTGGTCAGCGGTCTAAGAGTGGCGAGTCGGCTGCCACAGCGCTTCACAATGCACGGAGCCCTTTCCTTGGGACCTCACCTGGGTCTTAGGACCTAGCCTGTCACCCCAGGCCTTGGAGTTCTGGGATGGCCACATTAGTGTAAGAAACAGGTGCAGGGAGGCTGGGGGAGTGCCCCGGGCAGCAGCTGGGAGCGGGGAAGGACAGCAGAGCCCAGAGGTGAGAGGGTGGCTGGGGAGGCAGGCCTGGGGACTGCTGCAGGACCAGGGTGACCTTGGCTGGCCAGTGGAGGGCCCCCTCACGGGGATGTTGGACACTGCCTGGGTTACGGCCACCCTGGGAGTTGAGGAGCTCGGGCTTGGCAAGCTCAAGGTTGAAGCCACAAATTGTGGTTGGGTGACTTACACTGGCCTCATTGCTGAAAGCGTCCCCACAGGTGCTCAGCTTGCAGGACTAGCTGTGTCCTCCTGGGCCAGGGCAACCCTGCCTTCTCCACTGACCATCACTTATGGAGCCCACGCACCTGAGTGCCATCTTCTCCATCTCAGCTGACTGTCCCACTCCTGGGACTACCCTCCTTCTCTGGTACCCACTCCTCCCCAGGCTGCCAAGGCCCTTCCCACCTGGCCCAGCTGACCTCGCCCCTCTGCCTCCCATCCCCCAGCTCCATCAAGAAGAGCTGATCAACGCCGGCTGGGGCCTGTCCTTCTCTTGGCCCTGACCCTCTAATACCAAGAGCCAAAATCCCCGGGCAGCTGTCCCGGATGTCCCACCTGACTCGGGCCCTGTGTCTGGGGGTCACCTGGTAATCCTGTCTCAGCAAGATCCTCTACACTGTGCCTGTCTAGGTGCCTGGCACTCTGGAATTCCAGCTTTGCCAGGGCGAGGTCCAGCGGGTCCGGATTCAGCCTTGGTCCCTGGTGTCCTGACCAACACGCAGCACACCGTGAACTTCCCGTCAATCTTCCCCGCACCATGTGTGGCCCGCAGGCATGGCTGGGCGGGCTGTGGTACATCAGCGGGTGGAATATCACACAGCCATTAAAACCACAATTATGAAGATGATATTTTGATATCTAAGTGCAACGTGTCAAACAGAGCTGTATCCAAACCATCCGTTCCACCTGGAGGCTCGAGAGCCTGCTCCGCGCTGGCCCCGGGCTGGGCGTGTCAGGGATGGAGAGAGGTTCAGTTTAGAAGAGGAGGAAGACACGCACATAAATTTGGAGCCACACACTAAGGGACGCAATGGAGGAATGACAGAGCCCCGGGGCCCCTCGTCCATCTGGGGGCCTGGGCAGGCAGAACGGAAACCACTGCTCTGGAAAAATTATAGCCGTCCCTGCGTGGACCAGCCTGCAAGGGAGCAGAGGCACAGAGACTGTTGACGCCACAGGGCGGTGGCATTGTGGGTGATTTTTCCTTCCTTTATTGTTGGTATAATGCTGTTTGGGCAATAAATAAAAATTGGGAGAAAAAAATAGCTGTTTGGTGAATTGAGCAGAAAAGCAGGAGAAGGAAGAAAGGGAATTAGGGGGCAGGGAGTGGGGAGGGAGGAGCGGAGAGGAAAGGCAGGAAGGGAAAGGCGCTGCTCACAGCAGGTCAGAGGTGGCAGCCCTGGGCCAGGCCCCAGACTGCTCCCAGGTTGGGGGCAAGAGGGACAGCTTGGGGTCAAGAGGGAAGGACAGGAAAGCACAGGAGGAGGGGGAAAGAGGGGCTGGTGTCCCTATTGGTGACCTTCTCCCAGGGGTACCCTGAAGGATGTACAGCGCAGGGGTGACTAGGCCCCTGGAACATCTGCACAGTCTGGAGTTGGGACAGTGGGGTGGGAGGTGTGGGAACAGGTTCAGAAAGGGGTCTCAGCCAGATTGTGGGGCCTGGGGCCCTGGTTTGGGGGGGTTCTGGGCAGAGGTACAGACTCACTCAGGGGAGTGAATAGGTAGGAACAACTGAGCTCTGCGACACAGTGACAAGGTCCTACCTGGGCAGGTGAGGCTAGGTGGACTGGAGAGCTCCTTAGTGTCCCAGAGAATGTCAAAGAGGGTGGGGACAGACTTTCTAGGCTAACCACCTCCTCCCATCACCCAGACCCCACACAGTGGAAGTAGACTTTTCTGAAAGGCAGGCAGAGGCTCAGCCACCTTCCCATTCAAGGTCTCCCCAACCCTCATAAAAACCTTTGCAAACAGGCCCTGAATGCTCCCATTTCACAATCAGGACACTGAGGTTGGAGAGGTTAATCAACTTGCCCAAGGTCACAGTCAGCTGGTGCAGGAAGGAATGGGCCTGGCATCTGACCCAGGCTGCCCACTTTGCCAGCTGGGTGGGGCACTTCTCAGAGAGAACCCAGGGGTTCAGAGCACACGAAGGAAGGGGGAGTAGCAGGTGAAGGGGTTTGAATGGGGAAGGGGAACCAGACAGGGAGGAAGGGGTTACCTTGGCAGCAGAGTAGGCGGTGGGTACCTGTTTGTGAATGAATGCATGGGTGGACAGATGGATGAATGAATGAATGGATGAATGAGTGGGTGCAGAGGAGGGGTGCGGGAGGAGGCGGCGCGAGAACGAGAGAGAGAACCCCTCCTTTCCCCTGCCCCCCCTGCGCTGGAGGCTGGTTTTGGGCGCCTCCCTCCCCCGACTCCCTAGGGGGGCCTGCTT